TTATGAAGATGACTCTGGAAATCAATAAACTTCTTAGGAAGTACTAAGTATTTATATCCCTTACAAAACTACACCACCATACATATTCGTTTGATTGGGGAGGGTAATTAAGTTTATTTATTTTAATGTTTTTAAATGGCTTTTTTTTGAGGGGGGAGGTAATTAGGTTTGTTTGCTTGTTTGTTTGTTTATTTAAAAGGCAGTACTAGGAATTGAACCTAGGACCTTGTGCATGCTAAGCACGCACTCTTCCCTCCTCCTCTTAGTTTGATTTTTTTTTTAAGGTATCTGTCCATGGATTTTATTTCCCTCTCTCAATTTGTAGGCAAAATTTTCAAGTGTCTCTAATACCTACTTTGAAAAATTCTTGGATGGAAGTGGAATTGCTTTTTAAATTGGTTTCCGGAGGGTACTCACTCTTTTTTTCTTTAATTGAAGTATATAGTCAGTTTACAACGTTGTGTCAATTTCTGGTGTACAGCACAGTGCTTCAGTCATATAGGAATATACATATATTCATTTTCATATTCTTTTTCATCATAAGTTACTACAAGATACTGAATATAGTTCCCTGTACTATACGGTATGAACTTCTTGTTTATCTATCTTATATACATGTTAGTATCTGCAAATCTCACACTCCAAATTTATCCCTTCCCACCCCTTCCCCCTCTGGTAACCATAAGTTTGAATTGTTAATGCTTAGTATTCTCCAGCTTTTTGGGAAATGTTGTTAACCTTTTGGTTTGATCTAAATTTGACACATATTCTTTCTTCCCAAAACTGTCATGTGAAGCCACTGTAGGCTAAAGTCACTGTAGGTTTGAAGACAATTCTTTGAGACCACCTGAAAAACCTAGAGGCACCTGAGAAGGTTACAGAGACAAGCCCAGACATCCTAGCCAGGGGTCATCTGGTTCTTCCTACCAGTATACTCGCCACTTGTCCCAGGTGCAGTCCGTGCAGCTACCACTCGACATCTTTCCAGAGAACAGACGTCTTTTCCAGGGGAAGTTCTGTCCCTCCTTCCTTACCACTGTTGCAAGAGGAAATGGAGAAGCCAGACATCTTATCCTCTCACTCCTAATGCCTGCCAGACAGCAGGCTGCTGTCCCCTCTGCCCCCATCTGCCGTGAGGGCTACACCCCCAATGAGAATTCAGCCCACCAGCAAGGAGGGGGAAACTTCGAGGGTTTCTGTGAGCCAGAAGACCGGAGTTCCTACTGAACTTTATTATCAGTTAGCTGTGTGATCCAGGAGTCATAACTTTCTTCCTCTGAACCTCCATTCCCCTCAGTCAACTAAGGGATTTGGACTCAATTCTCTCCAAGTTTCTTTTTAACTCTACCGTTCTCTTCTAACTAAGTTGTGATCAAAGAAATGTTCACGTCTTGAGATAGAGGGAACCACTCTGGCTTATACACAAGTTCACTTGAATTTTATGCTAACTAAAACAGCCTGTTTGAGGCTTATCAAGCATAGAGTGTACAACTGCTTTAATTATTAAAGAAAAGGGCACATTGACCAGAAGTAACAAATGTCTGTGTTAAAAATACAGATTAAATGCCCCTCTTCCTGGGACGCCAATGCTGGTCCTCCTCTGATGATAAGACTCCCTTCCCAGGTGCCAAGGTCATAGACTCGCTGTACGTGCTGGTCTGTATCCTTGACTTGCTTAATGTTCTTTGTTCTGACAAAATATGAAACTGTGCTGGAAAGCCTCCTTCTTTGGAGCAGTTTTTCAGAGTCATCTGGGAAGCGGGCTTCTGGGCTAGTCAGTTTGGATCAAATAAAATTCCTTTCTATTCTTATTATTGATTGCTTATTGATTATTTTCACCCACAGTTGCCATTCATAGACATGGAAATATAAGGCTACTGTCTTCCTAGTTTCTAATCCATGTAGTAAAAATATTTGATCAGTTTAATTGAAGTACCTTTTGTACTGAATACAAAATTAGGAATTTGGGAGCTGCTAAAAGTCGATTCAACACAGTAAACAGTACTATGCAAAGGGGAGATCTTGAAGCTTAATGTCCCTCTGCTAACAAGATCTTAAGTGGAGGCGAAGGAATTAGGAGGGCGGTTTGTAGAACAGCTTTTCTCACTTCAGGAGATCTGAAAGCAGTAGGAATCACACTAACCTGGCTTTCCTGGCCAACTGTCGGATTGTTAGGACAGGCATATAAACAATCTGGGAGAGATCAGGCAGGGTCGGGGGGATTATGACTCTCAATTATGTATTTACATATTGATACTTGACCTTTTCAACCACGGGCTGTCTTGGAACTTAGAGAAAAAAGAAGAGTAAGAGTAATGAAACAATAGGAAAAATTACTGATAAATAAAGTTAATTACCACGGTCAATTTTGATCGCATTCCTACAGGGTGTATTTGGCTCGAGTGAGAACTGCCTAGGATGGGTCCATCATTCTTCTACCAGGAAGAAAGAAAAGATCTCAAAGTGAGACGTAATTAAGTGGATGATCACAGGCTTGTCCCACCCTGCCAGGAAGAAGGTAAAGCTATCATTATTTTCTCAGTGTCTCCTCTGCGTTGTCTTCAAAGTGCTCATTTCGTGGAATCTTGCTTCTCCCAAGCAGTGGGTTGAGTGCCAAGGTAAGAAATGGGAGTTTTTGCCTACAAGGAAGAGTCAGCATGAAAAACAAAAGCATAACTGAAATTTACTAACTAGTCTTTCAAAGAGAGCCTGAAACACATTTGCCCCCACGACATCATTTTGGATGAGTTTAATTAATTATTGGCCATTTTGCTTGCCACTAACTTTATTAAAATGGGAGCTGAGTGCAGAAGGAACGTACCAAAGTTAATATTCTGAATTATCTCAATTACGGGGTGTAGGAGAAGTACTAGTTATCCCTGGCACCTGTTTTACCCATCTTCTATGACTGGGATCAGCTGGTGGGCCAAATCCAGCCAGGCACCTGTTCTTATAAATAAAGTTTTATTGGAACACAGCCATGAACACTCACATGCATATTGTCTGTGGCTGTGTTTATGCTGCAGCAGCAGAGTTAAGTAGTTAAGACAGAGACCAGGTGGCTCAGAAAGCCTGAAGTAGTCACTACCTGGCCCTTTGCAGAAGAAATTTGCCACTCTTGTTTGATAATACTGGAACAAGTAATTTTAAGCTCGGTACACGGCTGCCTAGAACAGAGACTTGATTTTTCTACATTCCCTGTAGTTATGTCATGTGTCTAAGGGTTGCTGTAAGATCTAAGTGGATCAGGTACAATTTCATCTTGAACCATGAGAAAAACTTGAACAGAGAGGCCACACACAGCCAAGCAGTGGGATGGATGGGAAAGACCATGGGAGCATCATTCCAGACTTGAAGATTCTGCCCAGATTTCTAGATGAGAGGAAAACAAATTCTTATTTTGGGTTTTTGTCTCACACAACTAAATCTAGTCCTAACATCTTGGGGTCTGGCCATTTTTAACAAGAAATGTAGCTAAAGCAAAACAGATTGTTTTAAACATGTCTTCCTCAAACAAAAACACATGGATCCACATTCAAGTCAAGAAGAGATGATACTAGAGCTTCTTAAATTAATTCCAAACAAGTGATCTCCAGACCATTCAGTAAGAGCATCATTACGGAGAGATGGACGTACCCACTGTTGGTTCTAAGGTTTTATTTTTATAAACTATAATTTCTCAGTTTATCATCCTCACTCGTCCTTAATTGGGAGAGGACAGGATGTTATTTCTTGTAATTATAATAGCTCATAAACAAAGTTGTCACACCCTAAGTAATTGAGAATGTCAAATTCAAAATGTGTGCTTTCCTAATATGTCAGCATAAATTAAGAAGCATTTGGGAGAGGGGAGAATCAGGGACATATTGGCTATGATTTGACTTTTCCCTCTTGCTGGTTTTTTTTTTTTTTTTGTCTTCCTTGTTGAAGTGGTAAAACTGTCCCATCACAGCAGGCAAGAAACTTGTGTCTGGTGACACAGCAGGTGTGGGGCACATGTTTTAACAAAATGCCTTTTTATTAATTTAATTAGCACCTATGATCACAGGCTGGTGATGCAGCAGGTGGAAGACACTGAAGGATGAACTCCATGAAATCGGCCCTCCCCCACAGTAACTGTCTCTCTGGGCCTCCATCTTCTTACAGGGAAAAGTCACTTGTCATTCATTCATCACCTCTTGGCTTTACCACTCTCTCGCTCATGGATTAAAGAATGAAAATAAGAGCCTTTTTAGAATGTGGCACTTTAACCAAATATTTTGTTTTGATGTGACAGGAAAACATTGGAGAATTAGAGAAGGCTTGGTAACATCAAGGTCTCCAGTAGCGCCATAGGAATTGGGACAGTGGACGATGCCCCTCAGTCGCTCAGCCTCCGCTCTTCACTCTCTGGAAAAGGAAACTGAAGCGCAGAGAAGTGAGGCATTTTGTCCAAAATCACGGGGAAACCTGGATTAGAAAGCAAGCCCTCAACTTCTAATACAGGGCTCTTTCCACAAGTTGGGCATATTCTTCCAGCCTCAAGTTATATAGTTTGAGGAAATACGACATTGAGCTTGACTCGGTGTATATAGTTTCACACCATGCAGCATGTTTCTGGAGGACATGGACCATCTCCTTCTGTGGCACATGAACAGAGTCAGGACAGCCACTGTCAGAGCATGAGTGCTCAGGAACAGTCCTAGAGTGATGTTTTTTTTAAATTGAAGTATAGTCAGTTACAATGTGTCAATTTCTGATGTACAGCATAATGTCCCAGTCATGCATTTATATACATATATTTGTTTTCATACTTTTTCATTAAAAGTTATTACAAGTTATGGAATATAGTTCCCTGTGGTGTACAGAAGAAATTTTTTAATCTATTTTTATATATAGTAGTTAAAATGTGCAGATCTCCAACTCCCAAATTTATCCCTCCCCACCACTTCCCGCGTAACCATAAGATTGTTAACTATGTCTGCAAGTCTGTTTCTTTTGTAGATGAGTTCATTAGTGTCTCCTGGAGTGATTTTTATACATTATTTTTATTGTGGAAAATTGCTCTTTCAAGTGAGAGAAAGTTCAACGTGACTCAGGCCAAAAATAGGGGAGAAATGGTGGATTCCTGTAACTGCAAAGTCTAGGGTATAGTAGCTTCAGACAAGGCTAGATTTTGATGTTAAAAGACGTCATGAAGAATCTGTTTCCATCTTCCCACTTTGCTGTCTTCTGTGTTGGTTTCCTTCTCCGGCAGTCTCTCTGTGATGACAAAGAGGCTATCACCAGCTGCTGACTTACATCCTGCTGACTTAGGGACCCCAGAGGAGTCACTCTCATTCGCAGTTTGGGGCATGTTTCCACTCCTGGGGTTGGAAAACAGTTTGAGGACTTGATCCACGTGAGCCAAGATGGGGAGAGATGGGTGGGATGGGGCACACCCAGTGGTGTGCAGGGTAGGGGGGATGTTTAACAAGGAGTTCTGGGTGAGGGTCGGAGGTAGAGTCTTCATTTGTAACGTTTGCCAATTTCCATGGTGTAATAAACACTTTCACTGAAGCAAATTTCAAGCTACTGATGTGCACGGAATTGGGAAGAGAGATGAAGACACACCTGCTATGTAATATTCCTACCACGCAGGTAAAACGAATGTAAGTAACCTCAAGACCATCAATAATAATAAAATGTAGTAAAATAATTAGGAAGTGATGAGTTTTGAGTAGGCATTACCTTTGTTTTCAATAGCACCTTTTTCAGTCATAAGGAATTTAATGCTAAACAGTGACTGTGTGTGACAACAGAGTAGCTAAATTCCTGACATTTTAACAACTGGCTCTTGGGAGGCAGGTCTAGCATACCAGTGGGAAATGCTCCCAAAGGATTCGCTTTCTGTTACCAGAATAGGGGAGGATGGGTGCTGAGTGGGCAAGAACAATGCATGTCTCTTATAAGTGAGAGGTAAGATTTCAAGTGAAAGTGGAAAATTGGCTCTACTGAAGATGTGCAAAAGAAAATTTTTATTCTTTCTGGAAACACATTCTTGAGAGAAAATCCTGGAGAATTAGGGAGACTCAAAGATCTTGTTGGCATTTACCCTGATATCAGGAGGTAATAGCTCTTGCGTATTTCTGCAGCCTCAGTCCTAATGGGTGATGGTTTGGGACAGGGCAGCGCCAGGGGCCAGACCTAAGACCCTAAAGACTTGCAGAGATGGGGCCTGGGGGCAGCTGGGAAAAGAGTTGCTCAGTATGATGCTCCCACTTATACCCACCATAAAAGTTGATATTAATAACAAATTAAGTGCAGGAAAGTCTTTTGTAAGTTGGTGGGAGTCTGAATTGTAATTTCTTTGGAAAGAACTGAAGTTGTATTTCCATCCAGATGACAAACATGCTCACTCTGTTCAGTACCCTGTAATAACCTAAAATGAAAAAGAATGTATACATAACTGTATAACTGAATCACTGTGCTGTACACCAGAAACTAACACGATGTTGTAAATCAACCATACTTCAATTTGAAAAAAATCAAACAAGAAAACATTCTCTATAAAGTGTGTCTTCACTAACCCAGAATTCACTGACCTCTGTCTCTCTGAACTTCTGTAGTACTTAACTATGACACAGCTTATACTATGATTATATACTCTCTTGCTTGTTATAAAAATATTTGTGCAAGAAGGCTTTATCCTGCCAAGTGTATTATTGCCTCCTTAGTACTTATTTTTATCACCAATAATGCTAAACATAGTATTAAACACATAGAATGTGTTTAATAAAAGTGTATTGGAAGAAAATTGGATGTAGCGTGACAAATTACTATCTACTGTAAGAATTTGTTTTATGAAAAGTCAGTGGTGATTTTGGTAGCCAAGATAATAATTTATGTGTAAATGGTGCTTCTAGGCCTTTGAGGGTACCTACAAAATTATTTTGAAAAATATTGAAATTTTATCAAAAAATGCTAACTTGACTTTTCAAATGTTTTTTTACAAAGATGGTGTAATGGTAAAATGCAAGTTAGGCCCTGTCCGAATTAACTCAAATTCTGTCAGTTTCAAAATACAAGGTTACACAGTAAAGAAAAATTCACAGTGACAGTCCTCTCTTAGCCGTCTCTTGGGCCCACTGTCCACAGTATGAAAGCTGGCAAAAGCTGATAAATTCACAGAACTACACAAAGGTCCCTTCAGATGAGACAGCATCCCTGAGCCCATACCTTGTGTTGGTGCCGGAAAAGAGAACACCCATTTGTGAGGGCAGAGCTTAAGGTGGGACATTGACTCCACACACAGAATTTCCAAGTTGAATGTGGGAATCAGGTGATACTGTTTTACATATCTTTAGAGGAAAAGTCATTTTTCTGGTAAGAAAACTGAGACAATTATCACTTAATCATCTTAACTGTTCATACTACATATTGGAAAAAGTCGTAGTCTCAAATGCTATAATTATAGTGTCTTCTTCAGCCTTCTGACTACAGCTGTTTCCCAGACACTCCCCCACCCCTGACTAAAATTGCTTCTTAAAATTATGCTGCTCAGCTTCTGCTGGGAGTTTCCTAGTTTAAACTCGATTTATACCATATATCTGAAGACCTCTCCTTTTGATTTTTATTTCTCAGTCTTGTTGGGCCAGCTGCCTTCAACAGATGGAAATTTGGTCCCTTAAAAAGGCTGCATCTGTTATGGTACCTGCTGGCATCATTTCTTTCCATGTCATGTTGAATCACATACATTCTTGCCTATGGACTGCTCTAGGCACACCTTACACCTAGATTTAATTTCAGTTCCAAATACAATCTCTCAGAGCAGCAAATAAAAATAAGTAATTAGAATTTTGCAAGATTCTGATATGACAGTAATTTGAAGGAACAGAAAAAAATGGTTCAGCTGTGGAATTTAAGAAAGTATATGTCAAACTCAGAAATGTTGCTAAGTCTCCCCCTTCCATCCCATCCCACCCCCAGGAAAATGCAATGTTATTAAGTCATAGTCAGCTCCCCTCGGTATCCCAGGGACTAACAGAATGTGCTTTTGCAGAACTGACTTTCCAAAACAGTTGAACAATCATGCCTTTAAATTGAAACTTTAAAATTATAATCATTCTTATGTGACTGCCTTGCAAGATGTAGTATGTTAAGTTTATAAATATAATTTGATCCATTTCTTAATGACTTGCCGTCATCCTTAGGAATTCTTCACTGTACTGCGCTGTTGTGACAGCACACCGGGACAAAAATAAGTCTTGTTCATTTCCATTCAATACCACAAACATTTGTGCATTTGCTCTCTCCAAGCCAGACATGATGTTGAGTTCTAAAAATAGAGCCAGATGAAACCTGGGCCCTGTATCTAGGGTTGCTCGTTCTCCCTAAAGGAACATTCTCCCTCAAAGAAGATGTATAATGAATGGTCACAGACAACTGGCCTTCGAAGAGAGCAAGAACCAGATCAGAAAAGAATTTGAACTTAACCTTGAAGTATTTTACACAGGGGACTAACCTGGTTAGATTCAAAGGATCACCCTGAGGGCAGCATGGAGAATGGACAAAGTAAATGCAAAACTGGGGATGAACTGAGTATGGAGGGGTCTGCTCTAGTCCAGACAAGAAATGAGCTAAGCTAGTAACAGATTTAGGAGCTAGAACCAGTAGGATCTGATGTTTATCTTAATACTGGAATACAGGAGGAGGAGTCTGGGATGACTTCTAAGTCTCTTGCTATGGCCAACTAGGTAGATGAAGCCACCAGCTGAACTGGGAAACTCAGAAAGAATGGGTTTGAGAGAAAATGAACTGACTTTGGTTTTTCATTCATGTATTCAACCAATATTTATCAGCCACCTAGGATGTGCCAGTCACTGGGTTGCACCTTGGACGCAGTAAGCAAAAGAACACGTGATCTCTGCCCTCCTACAGCTTACAAAAGAGGATGAGCTGAGTAATCATGTAAGTATATTTATAACTACAAGTGTGATGAATACAAGAAAGGAGAAGGATGTGGTGCTGTGAGGGATTATTACTTGGGAGTCCGTGTTAGAGTCTGGATAGGAGGGTGAGTGGGAGTAGGAGTTGGCTGGTGAAGGAGGAAAGAAAGATGTTCACAGAGGAAGCAGAATGTCCAGGGACTCTGGAGCAGGAGTCAAAGGAAACCAGTGTGACTGGAGCAGAGAGGGCAGGAGATAAACCCAGAAGAGCAGGTAGATGCGAGACCACAGAAGGTCTTGGAAGCAGCCCTGATGGCCAGCTGGTCTGCACCCATGTGGCAACGCTGTCACTAGGACAGTAACACACTTCTGCACCAGACGATAAACGACTGCTGCGCTGAGCTACCCTCGGGTCCCCCCAGTCCAGCTGCCCAGCCCCTCTTCTGGACTTCTCCATGATCTAGGAACCAAAGGAGTAATACCTGGCATAATGGGGCGGTGGGGGGGCAGCTTTTTTCAGTGCTGCTCCCAGATGCTGGTGCCTGTTCTGATGGTCAGTACCTGTGCAATATGGGTTGTTGAATATTTAGACTGTTTTGAATAGGATCCCTGCTTATAGGCCATGTAAGAGTTTAGTGTTTATTTTATTTTTATGTTTATTGTTTTTTATTTTACATTTTAAGGGTTTTTTTTTTAGAGTTACTATTCAGTCTATTTTCTGTGTTCTGGTTTTATTTATTTTTTTTAGTTTTTATTTATTTATTTATTTGTTTTGAAGTATAGTCAGTTTACAATGTTGTGTCAATTTCTGGTGTACAGCGTAATGTTTCAGTCATATATATATACACATACATATATTCTTTTTCATATTCTTCTTCTCTATATTGAATAGAGTTCCCTGTGCTATACAGTAGAAACTTGTTGTTTATCTAGTTTATATATAGTAGTATCTGCAAATCTCAAACTCCCTATTTATCCCTTCCCAGCCCCTTTCCCTGCTGGTAACCGTAAGTTTATTTTCTGTCTGTGAGTCTATCTCTGTTTTGGAAATAAGTTCATATGTGTGGTTTTTTTTTTTAAGATTCCACATAAGAGTGATATCATATGGTATTTTTCTTTCTCTTTCTGGCTTACTTCACTTAGAATGATAATCTCCAGGTCCATCCATGTTGCTGCAAATGGCATTATTTTATTTTTTATGGCTGAGTAGTATTCCAGTATATATATAGTCATCTGTTGATGGACATTTAGGTTGCTTCCATGCCTTGGCAACTGTAAATAGTGCTGCTATGAATATTGGGGTGCATGTATCTTTTCCAATTAGAATACCCTCCAGATATGTGCCCAGAAGTGGAATTGATGGATAATATGGTAAATCTAATTTTAGTTTTTTAAGGAATTTCCATACTGTTTTCCATAATGGCTGCACCAAACTACATTGCCATCAACAATGTAGGAGGGTTCCCTTTTCTCCACACGAGAGTTTAGTGTTTATTCCAAGAATAATTGGATACCTTTGAAGAAGGTGACATGATCAGATACATGTTTTAAAAGTACCACTCCAATTGTAGGGTGAATAACAGATTGGGGAGGGATCAAAGTGCAGGCAGATGAACCAGTTAGTAGACTCTTGTTCATCCTGCCTAATATTGGGGTAGGAATTGTGGTAGAGATGGAGAGAAACAGATTCAAGAGGTAATCCCAATCAAAATCCCGGCAGGCTTTCTTACAGAAATCAATGAGCTGATTCTAAAATCTATAAAGACATGTAAAACAGCCAGTGATTTTTAGAAAGAACAAAGCTGAAGAACTCCTCTTAGGGAGGAGTATAAAAACCTTTGTGCACATATATTAAAGCCACCATACAGAACATGAACTCCAAGGACTACTACAGTTCAGAGGTTGAGATCTCTTTGGGTGGGGAAAAGTGAGCTGCAGCCGATAAAATATTATACAATTTTACCCGCATGGATAATGTTTCAAAGGATGACAGCTGATTTTGGTAGAACCCCTATCATTGCCGACTTTAGAATTAGACAAATAAGCAAAACCCTTTGCATCTTATTATTTTCTTCGAGAATACCAGTCAGGGTGAAAAATGGACATACTTAGAAAGCTCGTCTCTCAGCAAAGTGTTATTTTCATAGAATCCCCTTGAAAATAATTTTAATGTAATTTATGTAACGATCAACACTCTAACATACTGAATATCATAGTTATAGTTGAAATTTGGAGTTTTCTTCTTACATTTTTAATTAGCATATTGAACTCCCTGTGTACGTAAAATATACATATTGAGAACTTTAAACCCAGGCGCTAAAGAAATTCTTGAGAAATCCATTCTGTAACTTTATTTTTTTTTTTGCATTCTTCTTTGACATCTATTTCAATCACCACTTTCTAAAAATTATTTGTTGAGACCTGACTTGACATCATGGTTTTTCTTTTAATAACTATTCTGTACTCAAATGTTTTGGCTATGAACACACTTAATTTGTCCTTGTTCTTTCACATGCATGTATCCTTAACTATTTCATCTTTCTAAATGGCAAGGAATTCTAATTAAATAATGTGAACATAACAATTTTTCTTTCACAATATTTCCATTATATTTAATTTCCTTTCCCCAATCTTTAAAATAGAGTCAAGAATCTTTATTTTACCATAGGAGAAAATCTTCAGGAGCTGAGACTAGGTGAAGCGTTCTTAGACTTGACACAAAAACATACTGCGTAAGAGGAAATCTGATAAATTGGACATCATCAAAATTAAAGCCTGTTGCTTTGCAAGGAGACCAGAATTAGAGGATGCAGACAAGAAGCCTAGACTCTAGTGCAGCAGAAATACACACAAGAATCTGTGTCTATCGCAGAGGTCCAAACAAATACTCTGAGAATACAAAGGAAAATGAGATTACTTTCAGCCAAGGAAATCTAGGAAGTCTGACAAGGCGATAACCAAGCTAGGAATTGAAAGACAAGTAGGATTGCAACAGAGGGACCCAAGAGTAAGAAGAGCATCCAAGGCAGAATTAGCAAGAGCTAGAAGGAAGGAAAGTGCAAGAATGTTTATACAGTGAGTAGCCCGGTACAGATTACGGTGTATGGGAGGAGCAGAGTGGGAAGTGAGCCTGGAAAGGTGATCTGGGGACATATTGTACAATTAAGTGCAGTGAGGACATGGCCCTTCTCCCAGATAACTTACAGCTAGAAAAATGCTAATTCAGGTAAGAGGTGCAGAGCAAGCTGGCAGGTGTGAACTCTGGACATCCAAGAAGAATGGGATTATTTGGCCAAGGGCCATCATGCAAGATGCCCAGAAGCTCCAGGTGGCATTGCCTGAGGGGAGCAGGAGGGCGTGGCTGTGGCCTCCTATCTTAGGCACAGGCTGGGATACCTAAGTCTGTCTTTTTCCCACGGGAGTCTCTTCCTTGCTTCTCCCACCATCGTTCTCAGGCTGAGGGCGGAGCCAGAAACGCTCACCTGCAGCAGCTCCAGTTGAATACAGCCTGGTCTCTGCAAGGTAAGAGCCACCCTACTTCTCATGTCTGAGTTACAGGGGAGCATTTTAGCTGCAGGGGGGAAAAAGTAGGTCAGTTAACAAATGGTTTACAAAGTGTACATTCAAGAAACACATCACAGTAAATGCCTTTTCCACAAGTGTAGATACCCTGGGATTTTTAAAATTCACTTTCTTTTGACCATTAGAGTTTTACACCCACTCCTGACATCTACTCAACTAATTCTGTCTGGGAAACTTAAGTATCTGTGGTTCAAAGTAAATTTTATTCCATCGCCAATTTCTTCCAGACGGGTTTGCTGGTATGTTCAGAATATACAACCTTTTGCATGATCCAAATAGCATGTCCTAATTTAAAGTCAATTCAGCCAGCCATCTTTCAGCAACTAGGGAACCAGAATGGGTAGGGATATCTACCTAGTTCTGATCTTTTAGGAAAAGGTTAGAGTTGTTGGAAAGAAGAAGGTAGGGAGAAATAGAAGATCATTGACGAAACAATGGGAAAGGTGGACTGGCTTCCCAAACTGGAGGAAAGTTTCAGTGTTTATTTTGGATATTTAGTGCTTGATTTCCCCCTTCTCTTGTACCTCTTGCTTCCCTACCAAGTTATTGGGGAAGGGGTTGTAATTCTTGTTTTCATCATGATATTTCCCTCTTGATTAACTCCTCAAGCTCCCAGAAGCAGACTTGGATGCTGATGGCGTCAATAGCAAAGTCAAAAGCCTGCCAACGGCCTTGTCACTGCTGAGATGGAACAGTGGTTGATGACATTGAAGTTTCTGGGACATTATCAGTAACAATAAAATGTAACTCTCACTGTACAAAGAGAGCTTGGTTTCTGAATGTACCCTGCCAGCAGAACTCGCCAGGAGCTCCTTATCCAGATTCCAAGTCTGAATTAAATTCACGTTTTTAAAAAATGGTCAGGGAAATTATGCAAGTTCGAGAGAGGCCCCTTCACTTGCCATTTCACAGAGAAAAAATTAATGGAGGGGGAAGGAAAGTAATTTCTCTCATAAAATGGTAGTATAATATCTTTTTTGGTTATTATCTGTTCAGCGAGAACTGCAGTCTGCAATCTCCTTTAGTGTTCAATTTTTTAATTCCCAATGTGAATATTGAGTCAAAAAGCAAATGACCTTTCAGACCAAGAAAACCAAGTCTAAGGTCACTGGAATTTCTTAAATTCTCTGTCCACATTCTCAAACTACTATAGCTGTTCTTTAAAATATAGCATATAAACAGATGGTGTTGATGGGCTATAAAGTTTTTCCTGGCACAAATGTGGAATGACCTGGAAAACACACTTCATCATTCATGACTAGACTGTTCTTTCCAATTTCTGCCAATAAAAACTTGGAATAATCCAAGATATACTTTACACGTATTACATTACATACAAGAATAGTGGCTCAGAAACATAAACCTCACTTTTGGCAGTTGAAAAAGAAAGTTTAGGGAGAGAGGGAATTGGAAATTACTCAGAGGACTTTTGGCCAATGTTTATGAGGAAACACGAGGACACAGTAAGGGTAAGAAAAGGCTGAGGACACTTCATGGAGATGGCATGGGATTAGGGATCTGGAGAATGATTCAAGGAAACAAAAAGGAAGGAGGACATTCCCAACAAAGGTCTCTACCAAGAGTCCCCACCCTTCCTGGGGAGATCCCCCGGTAGTCAGGTGTGGCAACAACACAAGGTCCAGGAGGAGACATGGCTGAGATGGAAACTGGGAAGGGAGACGGAGGTCGCGCTATGATTATTATTGAATGTCTTCTTTGTGATGTGAAACCATTGAAAGCTTTCTGGAGGAAAGCTCTGTGATCATGAGAGTAACATATCAATTGTTTCCTACATGTCCAGCACCATGAAATGGTCTTCACTTCTTTCTTAAAACTATGCAATCCAGGGTGTACTAGTCCCATTTTACAGGTGAAGAAATTGAGGCAAAGACTGATGAAATAACTTTGGCGAGGTCAAACAGCTAGTGAAGTCAAGATCTACACCTAGGTCATCTAGCTCCAGAGCCCCATCTCTCCTGCTTCTAGAGAAAGTCACTACCGTATTTTAGAGAAAACTCCACAGCTGTGTGGAGGAGGAATTAAAAGAGAGGCTGGAGGCAGGCAGAGGAGGCCAGCCAGGAGGCCATGGTAGCAGGCCAAATGAAGCTAATACATGCCTAAGTCTGATAGGATTTAATGAACGAATGGACATGGAGATGAAAAAGAGGACAGAATAAAAAACTCCTGAGGCCTCCAACTTGATAGACCCTTGGATGGTGCTGCCAACACCAGAGGCAGAAAACAGGAGAAGATACAGGATAGGATCAGGAGAAGAAAGAATAGTGGGCTTTGTTTGAGGTCAAATGATTGGAAATATGGGGGATGCACATGTGGAGGGGGCACAAGCAGTAGAAAATCAGACCTGGACAGTGGGAGAGGCTGAAGGCAGAGGTGGAGGTGGACCCTCCTGAAGGTCATGGAGGCTTTGTTTCAGAGCTCCTCCCATGAATGAGCCCTTCCAAGCCCCCTGGAGGGTGGGAGAGGGACTGGGGACAACTATATGTTCATTAGTCAAAGGCATTTGTAAAAATTTCAAAAGTGGATTCTTGTAGTTGCAGCTGATTAAGATCCTATTACCTCTTTCCACCCAACTTCTTCTCACTCTGGGGGATTCTGTTTGAGAGGAAGCTGAGTTAGGAATAAAATATAATGTGGAATCAATGGGTTACATCTGTGTGGTTTCTTTGTAGAGTTACGTTATAGCCAGCCATCCTAGTATAGAATTTTCTTAAAGAGCACCCTCCTCCCAAATCATAGAAACATCAGGTGCCATGATACCTAGACATGTCCCTCGATGGAGCTGGAGGTGATAATTTGATATAGTTGGCAACTGAAGCTGTGGAAATGATAAAATTACCCAAAGAGAGGATGTAGCAAGAAAACATTGATGAGACTAGAAGCTTCAGGAACCCACATTTAAGTGGTGGGTGGAGCGAGCTAGATGAAGAAAAAGTTACCAGATAGGTTAGACAAGGCATGAGAGTTTGGAATTCGGAAGACAAGGGATGGTGGGTTTCAAGATAGAAGGGTAGGCAGTAGGAGTAAATGCAGGAGAGAAACTGTTGAGCTGAATAGGCAGGTAGAAATGGGCAGAAGAGTCCATAGGAGGTGAGAAACTTGAGGCAATGAGTGATACTTTATAAAGAAATACAGTGTCCTTTGCTATGTCCAGGATAGCCTGCTTAGTTATTACAGACATTAATTTTATGTATCAACTGGGCTAGGCCATGGTGCCCTGACATCTGTCAAATATTATTCAGAATGAGGGGGGCTTTTGGGGTGAAATGAACACATCAGTGGTCTTTGAGTCAAGCAGATTGCTCTCCATAATGTGGATGGGCCTCACCCAACCAGTTGAAGGCCTGACTAGAACCAAGACTGACCTTCCATGAGCAAGAGGCAAGTCACCCAGCAGAGGCCTTCAGATCTGGACTGCAGTACTGGCTCTTCCCTGGGCCTCCAGCCTGCTGGCCCACCCTGCAGATTTTGGACTTGCCAGCTTTCCATAATCACGTGAGCCAATTCCTTATACTTAATCAGTCTCTCTCTCTCTCTCCCCCAGATAATCCCAACTAATCCATAAATTGGGTTTTAACCATTCTTTCAGTTTTCTATGTGCTAGGCAACATATATATGTCTTTTTGGTTCTGTTTCTCTGGAGAACCTTAACTAATACCAGTCCTGGGGAGATACAGACTTGTTTAAGAATGTCAAGAAGCTTAGCCAGTGTGAGGGAAGGGGTAGAATTCACATCAGGCAAAGAAGCAAGAAAGGTTTGACTGGAGAGACTGCGTTTAAGGTGGGCCAGAGGGATGGCTCGCATTTGGGTGAGCAGGGACTGGGGGAGAACAGCGATATGGAAGGTGCAGTCGGATGAGGAAACACACCGAGCCCACTGAGGCATTCACAGGAGTCCAGCTGGGGTGTAGCTTGGCACATATAAGAAACCAGAAGGAGACAAGTATGGATAGAGGCATGGAAGCCAAGGTGTAGAGGGATTAGGAATGAGGTCTTTGTCATTCTTTCTGGTAGGAAACAGGGAATTATTAAAGGTCTTTGAGCAGGAAGGTAGTATCACTGGGTTTCATAGTATAAACAATCCCATGAGTTGGGTTCTCACTGTTCTGTCAGTGTACTGTGTGCCAGGCACCATGATAAATATTGTAGATATGGTCATAAAGGCACTGTCTCCGAATTCAAGGAGCTCAGTCTGTGAGGGAGCGGGAGAAGAGAAGGGAAAACAGAATGCGATATTGATAAACACTTTAATAAGGACACGGTGTTAAGAATCATGTGGATATGGGGCTGGGTTGAGGTGTGCAAGCTTCCTGCAAGAAGAGATTTTAGGGCAGTTTTCTAGAACTCAGTCATTTTCCCATAGAGACTATGTTTGAGTCATTTGAAAATGAGTTGCAATTTCATATGGTCCAACCTCATATTTCAGTGGTGTTCTGTTGCCCAGGTCAGACCTCCAAAGACTATCCTGCAACAGTATTTTCTGCCTAATGGGTTTCCAAAATACGAAGCCTAGGACTTCTCAACTTGCAAAATTCGGAACTGCACAGATTGGATTGTTAAAGGTACTTCCGTCTCCTTTCCTCAGTCCCACCTTTTGCTTATGGTTCTTCTCACCAGAACCTCTGACCCCCCAAGGCTCCAGCCTGCCCTGAAGCACTGTTTCTCCCAAACTTGATCTGCCTCCAGACTTCCCTTTCTTTGGGTGCTGTCCGATCTGGGCTAGGAAGGTTGAACTGGCTAATGCTGATGTGTGAACGACTCAAACTCCGTTACCCTCCCGGAGCTATCTGAGTCTTTAAGAGAGGATACGAGGAATCTTTGGTGGAATTCCAGGCAATAAAAGTAAGACCTTTGCGTATTTGTTTGTATAGGCCATTTATAAATAGGAATTGAGAAGGTGGGGCTGCAAATTCTGTGTTCCCTATTCAGACATATTTACTTTGTGACTTTGGTTAAATAAATTTCCGCTTCCTATTTTTACAGCTAGTTACATTTAACATCATTAAATATTGTTTGTTTGGCATTTGATGGACTAACCTGAGCTATGAATTTTTTTCTAACGAATGAAGGTAGACGATTAAAAACCTGCTTCTTCAAAAAGAACTTATGACTCACTGCCCTAAATAAGAGAAATCATGTGTTATTTCATCTCTTTCCTGCTTGCTTCCTTTGATTATTAAGCTGGTTGGATTATTCTATTTAGTTAGAGTACACGTGTAGTTGTTTTCCCTAAGAGAAACTAGTTTTTTAAAAAATCATGCAAAAACATATATTTCATATTTGAATTAAATAAACAAATTTAATTGAAAAATCTGTTTACTTAGCGCCTCTTCCTTAAAATACACTATTTCAAAACAAATAAGACTTACTGTAGTATGTCATAATGTTAGTCCCAGAAATTTTAAGATCGCAATATTTGAAACTTTAACAGAGGAAGTAGTAGTTCATTAAACCAGTGGTTCCCAAACTCAGGTCACCAGACTGGCCTTGGATAATTATACCATCATCATCATCACTATGAGTAATGTTTGTTGTATTTAATTCATAATAATCTCATATGAGATACTATTATCATCACCATTTCATAGATGAAGAAACTGGGGCACAAAGAGGTTAAGTAACTCGTTTAAAGCTATTTAGATAGTTAGTAAAGCCAGGATATAAACTCTGGCAGTTTCAAATTTCCTCCCTTCCCCTTCCCACCCAGTTTTGACTCAGTAGGTCTGGAATCAGGGCCCCAGAATCAATATGCAAATCCCTGGGTGATTCGGAAGCAAAGACAGGTTTGGGAACTATCTCATGAAATGAATTCACTTTGCACTGGATGGCTGGTTCCTTACTCATGTCTTAGAAACAATAGCTCATAGGGCTTATCACGTTTCCCATTTGGTTAGTAAACAATGATGGTTGAACACTCTTCAGTGTTCTTCGGGAACAATGCTGAGGGGCCTGGTGAACGTCAGGAAATAGTGCTCCACCAAGGCACAGACCATCTAGTTTAAGGGCACAGGTGAGCAGCTGGCGGTCAGGGAGTGGGTCACAAAAGCCTGTGCAGAAGGTGCAACGCAGGCTTCCTGGAAGCGGATGTGAGCAGGATGTGAAAGAGGCAGCATGATTTGCAATTGGAGGAAAGAAGGGATCATTTCTGTTCAGGGAACAAATGGAAGTAGG